AATTGTAATCGCTCTCAAATTTCATTTGTTCGCGCATAACAAATTATAGATAATATTGACACGAGTGGGCAAAATGTTGCTTCGCTATTGTCTTTAAAGAAATAAGTAAACTTGTGTGCTTTGAATTTTGGATCAAAAAATTGAAGAATATTTACGTAATTAAATGGATCAAAGTACAAAGAGGTGTTTTTCTTTTTTTTAAATTTCAGTTGGCACTCGAATCTTAGTTTGTGTTGCTATGGTAATATACTAATTATTTGTTAAATTGACTTTCAAAGTGAGATAATTTATGTGAAGAAAAACTATTAAAAAAAACAAACATAAATGAGTTTACATAGAATAATTTTAGTTATTTAGTAGCATCAAACTTTGAATCATTCGATGATAAAATTGGGATTAAATAATATTTACGTAATTAACAAACAAACAAACAAAAAAAAGCAAACAAAGTACAAAAAAGTGTTTTCCTTTTTTTTTTAATTTCATTTTTCACTCGAATCTTACTTATATTTGTGTTGGTATGGTAATTTACTAATTATGTATCAATTTGACGTTTTCGGAAAGGTTTCTTTTTTTTTAAACAAATTGTAATCGCTCTCAAATTTCATTTGTACGCGTATAACAAATTATAGATAATATTGACACGAGTGGGGAAAATGTCGCTTCGCTAGTGTCTTTAAAAAAATAAGTAAACTTGTGTGCTTTGAATTTTGGAGCAAAAGTGAAGATTGAATAATATTTACGTAATTAAATGGAGCAAAGTACAAAGAGGTGTTTTTCTTTTCTTTTTTTTTTAATTTCAGTTGGCACTCGAATCTTAGTTATATTTGTGTTGTTGCTATGGTAATTTACTAATTATTTGTTAAATTGACTTTCAAAGTGAGATTAAAAGAACATAAATGAGTTTACATAGAAAACTTTTAGTTATTTATTTAGTTGCATCAAACTTTGAATCATTCGATGATAAAACTGGCGATCAAATAATATTTACGTAATTAACAAACAAACAAACATAAAAAAAGTTGAAAGAGTTATTCTTAATTTAGTTGAAATATTTGGCAGTCGACTCGTAAAGAATATTGGGATTAAATACAGTGTGTTGCTATGGTAATTTATAAGTTAGTTTATGTGTAGATTTCGATTTCGTTTTGACGAGAACGTCTTTATCAGATAAATGATTAAAAAAATACAAATCAATCAATAATTACAATAAAACGATTGTTCTTTGTGCACGTTTAACATTTATCTGATAAATGTTAGAAAAATTTCTAAAATAATAAAGCAAAAAGTCAATTCGTAACTGAATTAATTAAATACATTTGAAAAAAAAATAACATAACAATTAATCATTGCGAGACTTATAAATAAAGTAATGCTAGGGTACTAATACTAATACAAGATTACGTGTTTAAAGAAACATGTTTTTCTTTATACTTTTATAATATATATTTTTGTTAATTTTCGCGTAATCAGTCGGCCAAGTGTTTGCTCTTCCACTCGACTCGACTCGATTTTTGTAGACGTACCGTAAATGCATTATGCATATAGATTTATTTGTATTGCAGCTATTTTTCTACAATTAATATTACTTTAGATTACGTATCTCGTTTGTGCGTGCATTTGTTTGTGTGTGTGTTTGGCAAATGTATAAATATAGAAATGGCGTTTTGTTATTTCCGTTTTTACACACTCACACTCACTCCATTTCTGTTTCACTCTTTCAAATCTTACCCACTTTGTCTACCAGCTAAGTAAATATAAAATACGCGCACTCTTATCTCACGTCCCCCCCCCGATTCTGCGATAGATTTTTAATTGCTCTCCTTCTCGCTCTAATATCACTTCAGTTTTTTTTTAATATTTGTTGCAGTTGTTGTTTCGTATTTCAATTGTTTGGTAGTCGAGGAAACGGGAATATGCAATCAGCGACAACTTGAAAATTCAATTCTGTACAATCAACAACAACAACAACAACAAAAAACAAACAAACTTTTAGTTTTGATTAGTTTTTCATTGGATTCATGGCTTATTTTCTAATGCATTTCTTTTAATTTCACAACTGTATGTATGATCAAGCAAACAATTGAGAATACAATAAAATAAAATCTGATGTTCCTCGAGGCAATGTACTAGGTCTTCTTGGTAGAGATATAAAACCAAACTCAAATCGTTAATACGCAAACTGACTTACAAATTACCATAGCAACAAAATGGATTTTTAACCCCAATTCGAGACGAGTGTGCCAAATATTTCTCCTCCTTTGTCACACTCTAAACGTCAAACTCACAAATAATTAGTAAATTACCATAGCAACACAACAATGAGTTTAACCCCGATATTTTTAATACGAGCTACATTTGTTTGGTTTCTTTCTTTGTTAATTACGTAAATATTATTTAATAGAAGTTTTGACCCTTGAAATGCTCGTTCGCACATGCATGAATCAATTTTTGCCCACTTTGTCGGCCAATTAAGTAAATATAAAATACGCGTCCCCTGGTTCTGCAATAGATTCTTAATTGCTCTCCTTCTCATATTATTTTGTTGCAGTTGTTGTTTCGTATTTCAATTGTTTGGTAGGCGAGGAAACGGGAATATGCAATCAGCGACAACTTCAATTTTGTACAATCAACAACAAAAATTTAGTTTTGATTATGGATTCATGGCCTGTTTTCTAATGCATTTCTTTTCATTTCACAAATGTATGTACGATCGAGCACCAAACAATTGAGAATCCAATAAAATAAAATCTGATGTTCCTCAGGGCAATGTACTAGGTCTTAATATAAAACGAAATTCTAGCAGAAGGAAATTCATGATCATCATCGATGATTACTCTTTGTGTATAACTGGATTCGTTCGCTGCGACTTATCGGATGCAATCAGGAATATATTAGAAGTGCATTTAAAGCGACGAACGTCCAAGGAGAGCAGAGCGATCTTAACGTGAACGTGTGGCCTTATAATTGACGGAGGAAGAGGAGGAGGATGATAATTAAAATGCGAACAATTGCGGTTTGTTGTTCGTTATCGGCGAAGGAGTTATCGCGCGTTTCCTTTTGGGTTAAACGGCGGATAAAAATCGCTTGAAATCGAGTCAATAAACAGTGGAGCGTGGGCAGCGAGAGCCCTCTTGATTAAACGATGCAATTCAGCTGATGATGATTACGATGATGGATTAAGCAGATGCGCTGCACTTTTTTTTATTTCCTCTCAGCTCTATCTTCTTTGCATTCTTTTTGCCCTCCCCTCTAGAAATACATTTATGTTCTCTATATATGAGTGTGTGTGTGTGTGTACATTATAGCAAAGTGTATACACATATCGGAGCAGCAAAACAAGTCGATTTTTCTCTCATTCCCGATGCAAACCGTGACCTGCAATAACATCAATACACTTAAATACGCACGCACACTCGCACACATATACATACATATATATAACTTATTTATCATCGGCTTGTTTGCCCGAGGAAACGACGGATTGCCACACTGAATGGGAACCCAGCGAAATATACACACACTAAAGCAATACGGGAAAAATCCCTTTGATTTATGCGAACTTACGTAACGCGATACGCCACACGCCGTCGAGAAGAGAGAGGCTCGAAAATGATTATTATTGCAAGTTTTTCACCTCTCCATCCATCCAGGTGAACGCTTCTAACTTCTTCGTCTCTTTTCGCGTTCCCTGTCATTTCGTTATCGTCATCTCTTTACGCAATTTCGACTAAACGCACCGTTGAAAATCCAATAATAATAGTCCTGAAAAAAAAAAATATAATCATTGCAAATTTTGTTTAATAATAAATTTAAATTAAATAGAGTGCTGTGAAGTTTGAAAACAATTGAGTTTATAAATCTATTAATTATCTAGTATTGGTTGATAAATCAATTTACCCAGATGTAAATTCTTGATAAGGTTTCATTGACAGCTACAATTCTACAACTGTCAAAATGACAGCTGATTGTAAATCTTTTATTTCAGTATTGAATTATGCTGCAATAAATTTAAATGAAATGATGATTATGAACAACGATGCCATTCATTCGAATGTCAAACTGACGGATCAACTTTTATTATCCAATTGTGAATTGGATTATAAATAATTGTGCAGATATTCCAATCAGTGGTGAATTGTTCATGAACTTATTACCCAGAATAACAAGATTAATAATAATAAACCGTACAACGTCTTTGATTTCATGTTACATATCTATATATATATGTTAATAAAATGATGGTGGAGGGAAAAAAAATGTAAATGTTTATGAGCCATTAATTGGATTATTGGTCTGCTGATAATTGCGCAAGCAAACAAGCGTTTGAGGAATGCTGCAAACTATATTGTCTGTTTGCTCAGCTAAAATATTTGTACTTCCATGACTCATTATAAAAAAAAAATTAAAAAAAAAATGTTTAAAAATTAAAAATGGAAAAAAAAAATGTGCAGTGAATGAGAAACTGTAGAAGATGTTAATGAGGAAACTGGAGAAATTAAAAAATAACTTTGAATATGAAAAGCAAGATATTTGTGTCTAAATTATGTATCTAAATGACAGCTGATCATAGGAATTTTGATAGATTGTGAATAGCAAGTTGAAGTGATGTTAAATAAGGTAATGACTTTGATTTCAGTTAAATTTTATGCATATTGGAGTAGAAATGATGTGTCCAAGAGTATGCAGGAACTATAAGAAACATTAGGTATCTAAATGTCAAAATGACAGCTGATCTTAGGAATTTTTATAGATAGTGAATACAAGTTGAAGTGATGTTGAGTAAGGTAATGACTTTGATTTCAGTTAAATTTATGAAGGTTGGAGTGGAAATGAACTGTCCTAATGTATGCAGGATACTATAAGAAACATTACGTGTCGAAATGTCAAAATGACAGCTGATCATAGGAAATTTGAAAGGTTGTGAATAGCAAATTTTATGTAATTATGAGTAAGGTAATGATTCTAATTTCAGTTAAGTTTATGCAGATTGGAGTGGAAATGAAGTGTCCAAGAGTATGCAGGATACTATAAGAAACATTACGTGTCAAAATGTCAAAATGACAGCTGACCATAGGAAATTTGAAAGGTTGTGAATAGCAATTTTATGTAATTATGAGTAAGGTAATGATTCTAATTCCAGTTAAATTTATACAGATTGGAGTGGAAATGAAGTGTCCAAGTGTATGTCAAAATGACAGCTGTTTGTAGACGTTTTGATAGGTAATGAATAACAAGTTGATGTGATTATGAGTAAGTTAATTCCTTTGATTTCAGTTAGAAAATGTCAATGTTTGAGTGTGTAAATATCATGAAAGTCCACCCGCGTTGATAATTGGGTGGACAAACAAGCATGCGAAGAATCCCGGATCGATATTACCGCAAACACACACACATCTTATAATCTGTTTGCTCTGTGTTTTATGGTGTGTGTGTGTTGTGTTGCTGACGATGTGACGTAAGGTCCTTCACAAATTAAGGAGCGAACAGCAGCAGGGAGATGTCAATGTTTACGGAGCGAAAATCGAAGATAATACCATCTATTTCGAATTCATTTCAAGGTGCGCGTGCGTAACAGCTGAGAAAGTTAAAATATCATTGTCAAGGTGCAACCGTTTGACACGAAGCCGAAGTAATATGCCAAATTTCTTGGAATTGGCGTGCAGCGCTGCTACTGCTGCCCCCCTGACCTGGGTCAACTCAGACTACGACGACGACGGCGGCGGCGGCAACGGATCACCAGTTGCATTAGGTCTCTCTCTTTCGCTCTGTTACGATCATATCTTCCAGTGTATTTACCAAGATTATCTTAAATTGATCCAGGATTATAACTGGTAGGCAGTCGCGTTGACCAACTCGCGGATCCAGTTTTGCACAACAACGACCATCATTGCCGGCGAGTTACGCAACGACGCGCGCGCCCTCTTCGACATAAACAAATTGGATACCATGGTTACTACTCCCAATCCATCGATCGCTTCGATCTTATTTTATTCTCTCTTTTTCTCTCGACGCTCGAATCGATAATATTTTCTCAGCGATAATATGCACACAAACACACATGAAAAGGAAGAAAAAGGCGAAGAATAAATAAAATAAGGTAGCGCTAATAGTTGCTGTTGTTGTTGTTACAGTTGTGCAAATATTGGAAAGAGAGGTGAAAAATGTTTTAGGTCATACGCGGCTGGAAATAACTAGTTTTCTGAGCGCAATAAAACCGTTCGGTCTGCCTCTACGCTTCTGCTACCTATGCCAAGCGACTGAACAACAACAACAGAGACTCTGTAACACAAAATTCGTCTATTCAATCTCAATAATCTTAGAAGATTGATGCACTTGACGAGAAGGAAGCGACAGAAACAGATTTCCTACCTTCAATTTTAACGATTCCTCCTTCTCAAGACACCGACCGACTGCTTCGACGACGAGGATAAACCGGACGGATTAAAAACCGGACTGCGCGCATAAACCGGATAGAAGAAACCGTCCTATAACAAACGGAAAACGTATCAATCCACAAGAAGATATTCACTGCAACATTTCCAAATATCTTATCTTAAATATAAATTTGTATACAGTCTCAGAGATGCGCATCGTTTACATTTATTTTAAGCACACTATACTTAAATAAAAATTAATAAAATGAGCGAAATTTATATGTACATAACAAGGAACACGTACGTAGTTCTTTGATCCATTCATAAAATGCATTACAGTCACACATTCGAATGGTTAATTTAACGTTTTGAATATTAATATTCCGGTCGTTGGATTGATGAAGCGACGAAACGTCGAATGAAAATGCACACATTTCTTTATGGAATACAAATACATACAGAATAACAGTACATTTTAATGGTAGTCAAAGTTCCAAATCCAAATAACACTAATTATTATTATTGTTAAGTTGAAAAATCGTTTTATTTGCCTTAGTGTAAATGCGAGAAAGAGAATTAAGTCCCATGCAAACAGGAGATATAAAACGGGTTATTAATAGAAAGACCGATGCAGATAAAGTGTAGAGTACGTATATAATACAACTTGAATCATTTACTTGCTTGCTTCGAAATTTAGCATTTTCATTTACGAAATTTATGTTGTTGTTATGTATTATTTCTGTGTTATTCAATTTCGAAAATACCGTTTCTCGCACTTATACCGCCGCGACACTTATTATCGCGACAATTTGCTTTTCAATGAAAAACGTACAGAAATAATACAAGGATAAACCAATAAAATTTATAAATATCAGTTCGCTTGTTTGCTTCTGCTCTTCTCGGTTTGGACTTTTCCGTTGCGGATGGCTCGAATATCAACGTCCACAAATTACGATCAGGAAATTGGATCGAAATGCACAATTTCATTAAATCCTTAGTCTCTTCAACTCATTTATGAAGTCTAAAATTTAGTAATTATGCAATTTCGCACACAATAGGTTGTCTTTGATAGAGTCATTAGCAACTATCAATGAAATGTGAAAACACTGCTTTGCATTTTTTAAACTTTGAACACGAATTACAGCCAAACGGATAAAACCACAGTAATATATGAATACTCGGTAGATTCAACAAACATTCAGCTTTCATATGCATCTTTTGCATTCATTCTATCTATTATAGTTTTCGAGTAATTCAATGAAATGTAAAAATACTGTTTTTTCGAGCATTTTTTAAACTTTGAACACGAACACTGGATTTGAATCTTCCAGTTATCATTTCCTACTGGATTTGAATCTTCCAGTTATTTTTCCTACTGGATTTGAATGTTTCCTACTGGATTTGAATCGTTATGTTTCCTACTGGATTTGAATGTTTCCTACTGGATTTGAATGTTTCCTACTGGATTTGAAAATACTGCTTTTTCGAGCATTTTCTTAA